AATTTTTTTTTAGAAGTTTTGGAAAAATTAAACTAAAGGCCTTAGATATTTATAGGGAAAAGTGTTTATCTTTTTAAATGATATCACTTGTGTCATTTTACTTTCACAAAGAAGAGAAATTCACACCTTTATATATTTTTTTGTTTACTCTCTTTCCATAATTTATTTATTTTTTCTCACTTAAAATGACACAATATTACATCTTTTTAAATGACACATGCTTTTCCTTATTTATAAGGCAATTAAGTGATCAGGAGTTAGAAATTTATTACATTTTACATAAGCTTTTAAAATTTTAATTTAATTTTTTAGTAATTTAGACTTTCTTATACATCCTGTCATCTTCGTTTAAAAATATGTTTTATGTTCTGCATGAGGTTTTAACCACTTCAACTTAATGTGTTTCTAGATTTAATTTTCATTTGATTAGTGTAGAAGTCTTTTCTTTTTATTTGTTACATTGTCAAAATTGTGAACTATTATTAATAAGTTAGAAATTTTGTAGCTATATAGTGTGTAGGAAGTGTAGATTAGTGTATATTATATTTTAAAAACATTGAAGCTAAACAAGGATATCGAAAATAATATTTTTGAACAAATTAATTTTGAGAATTTTGGGTAACTAGAGAATATCATAATTTATTGAGAAGTTTGAAAAAATTAAAATAAAGGCCTTAGTTATTCAGAAGGCGGCTAAGTGAGCAAGAGTAAAAAATTTATTATATTTTGCGTGAGTTTTTAAATTTTAATTTAATTTTATTAAAATTTAGATTTTTGCAATACATCTTGTCATCTCAATTTAAAATTATGTTTTACCTTGTGGACAAAGTTTTCACCACTTCGACTTTTCGTGCTTCTAGGTTTAACTTTCGGTTTAACTTTCATTTATAGGATTTTGACCTCCCATGGAGAAGTGAAAACTTGACCTAAAAGTTGAATAAGTTATTGTATGGGTTTTCCTTCACACATTTTGCTTAAAAGATGTCTTTCTTCAGATTATCTTTCCTTAGACCTTCTCCAGGGTTTTATATGGATCTTGTTGCATCATTTCCCTTTTTAGGGAGTTAACGTCGTGGTGTCACTCTTTTTAAGGTCTTTGCTTGATTTGCATCCTGTTCGTTTTCCCTCTTCAAGGTTATTTCTGAAACTCTTTTTCAGGATGTGCACCCTTCTTGATGGTTACTGTTCCGGATGGCCCAACTACTAAGTGGCCCAATGGCTCAGGCCTAACTCCAGGCTCCAACCCACGTCAGCCCTAAGGGCTGACGTGGACCCTCCCATCCCCCAATACTGCGACGCGTCCAAGGAGAAGCACCAAAATGTCACATCTTGGGACCTTAACCCCCTAAGGCGACTGTCACAGGCACCTTAAAGGGAAACTGTCCCTTTGTCCGACGCTGACATCGCCAGGCACAGAAGGCGCAGCGCTGCTATAACAGCAGCGCCTGCCACGCCAAACATTGCCACCAAAGGGGTGAATCCCAATGAGGGTTGACCCCCTCCTCACCAACCCACACCGTTTCCCCTATAAATAGCCCCCGAAGGCACACCATGGAGGTATCTTATGTATCGTTATTCTGCCCATTTACTTTGAGTCATATTATCGCTTACTTATCCACTAATTATTGCTTGTTTATACTGGGCAAAGTACCTCTTAGCTTGGTCTCTACCTGTGCTAAGGGTATAATCCATACAGTGACTCATCCCTGAAAGGAACATAGTGGGCTTATAGATCCCTACGGTACATTGGCGCCGTCTGTGGAAAACTATAAACTTCTATTCCCATTCTCCTACCAAAGATCCACAAGACGCACTTCAAACCTAGATAACTAAACATGGTTGTCACGACCAGAAGAGCGGAACAAGCCAGGGCTGTTACCCCGGATGGTCACGTGCAAACATTACATTCCAACTCCCCGCCATCCATGCATTCAGCCCCCGCTGAGCGAGCCGCTGGCGAGGCCCTCCCCCCGGCACTACAATCTGTTGGCCCGCAGCTGCCAGTAGCCGGTGATAGAATAACACAATTGAACCATCGTGCACCTGTGCGTGAAATGCAAGGAGAAAATTTAATCCCAAACCAACCCCCATCGCCGAGAGTTCATTTCGGAATCACATTCCCTACTACTGCTCCATTAGCCATCCCTCATGTGCAGGACTTTCCCAACTAGTAGCATTGCGTCTTGGGACAATTTGGCAAACAAGTTCCAGTCAAACTTTGTAAACAGTCGCCCCGTACCTAAGTCCGTTCATTCCCTTGAAAATAATCGCCAACAATCTAGTAAGTCCCTCAGATTTTTTTTAGACTGCTTTGATAAAGAGGCTCTGCAGGTGCAGGGCTTAGACCCCAAGGAGTAGGTACATATATTTCTTTCAAGCTTGCGACAGGGAGCGTTCGCTTACGAACTCGCTCGACATGAAATTACTTACTTAGAAGAGGTCAAGAAGAAAGCCCAGGAATTCATGAGAATTGAAGAGTATAAAGGGAGTCGAGTTGATGACGCCCATAACCAAGAGAAGACGGTCAGCAAAAGTAAGAACCAAGTTGAAGAAAACAGGAAGGGTCACAAACCATTTAAGTATGCCAGTCGCCCTTCGGAACGTGGTTAATCAGGACGCCAGTCACACAGTGTCCTGCAAACAGAGTACAAAGAAGAGCCCAAGAGTAACCAACGACCCCAGCAGCCGATCAGAGAAGTTGCCACGTACTGCAAGTTCCACCGTAGCAACAGCCACAGTACCGAGGAGTGTAGGCACCTTAAAGATGAGATTGATGAGCCCATCAAGGGCGGTTCCCAAAGGCGTGGCGGTGACGCGGCACGCCCAGCCGACACAGGAAGGCGTCACCCCGAGCATAGCAGGTCGCCAGAACGAAGAAGAAACAACCAACCTGGCTATCAACCTCGCCGCGAACGAGATCGTAGAGAAGGCTCCCCACGAGACCGCAGAGTGCCGGTTAGCCAAAGCAATGGAGGAAGGAGGGAAGGAGATGACGAAGATTCAGCAGTCATCAGGCACAGGGTGATAAACATGATATCAGGAGGGCTGAGCGGAGGCGGAGAATCGGTCAACGCCAGGAAGAGGCACCTGAAACAGTGCTTGGCGGTTGCGGGTAAAGTGATCAGCAAAGTACGAGTGGATTCAGGTTCTGCCAAGCCCAAAATCGTGTGGGATTGCAACGACTTCAGTGACGTCCTTCCTGGACATGATGACCCTCTAGTCATTCAAGCAATAATCACCAATTTTGGCGTCAATCGCGTGTTTGTTGACCACGGCAGCTCTGCCGATATCTTATTTTTGCCCTGCTTTAAGGCGTTAGGATTTACTGTTAATGACTTAACCCCAGTTGCAGGTGAACTTTCAGGTTTCAATGCAACTACCACCAAGCCTCTTGGAATGATAAACCTACGTTTGTCTTTGGGAATACCTCCCACATCAAGGTCAGGCGACATCCAGTTCCTGGTGCTTGACACCCAATCAGCTTACAACGTTATCCTCGGCAGAAGGATGCTCGCCGCGTTTGAAGCAAGCATATCGCACCCGCACTTGGCGATGAAGTTCGTGGCGAGGGACAACAAGGTCGCGACGGTAAAAGGCAACCAGACAGTAGCCAGGAGTTGCTACAATATATCTCTGAGACCAGCACCTAAGGCCACCTTCAAAGACCAACCAACGCCACAAGTGGTGACATCGCAGGTAACGAAAGAAAATACTAGCAGAAAAAACAAAGAGCTTGACCAATGTTTTCTTGTAGAATTCGATGCTAGGGACGACCCTCGAGCAGAACATTCCAGGCCCACGCCAGACGCAGAGTTAGAGCATGTCGTTTTGGGTGACGCCGAACACCAGACGACTACTATCGGTGCAACCACTGATCCAGAAATGAAGAGTAAGCTGATCAAACTACTACGTAGCAACAAAGACCTCTTCGCCTGGAAACCATCTGATATGCCAGGTATAGGTCCTGAAGTGTGCTGCCACCGGCTGTCCGTAGACCCCAAAGCAAAGGCCGTCGCGCAGAAAAAGAGTAAGTTTGGCCCGGATCGCTAGAGGGTAATCGACGAGGAAGTGGAAAGGCTCCATGACGCTGGCTTCATAAAAAAGTCAAATATACAACCTGGCTCTCCAACCCGGTATTGGTCAAAAAGCCCAGTGGGGCATGGAGGATGTGCGTCGATTATACTGACCTGAACAAGGTATGCCCCAAAGATGCTTATCCCTTTCCAAGCATTGACCAGCTGATGGATAATGCATCCGGGTTCAAGATACTCTCATTCATGGATGCCTACTCTGGTTACAATCAAATTCCATTACTAGAAGATGATCAAATCAAGACGGCGTTCTTCACCCAGAACGCCAATTACTGTTATACTATGATGCCCTTTGGCCTGAAGAATGCGGGCGCCACGTACCAGCGAATGATGAATGAAGTGTTCAAGGACTTGATCGGCGGCAGCGTAGAAGTCTAGATTGATGATATGAGTAAGTGCGAAAGTACAAACATGCGGCTCAATCCGAGTAGGTGCACTTGATCGCCAAATCACAAACACCGGAACAACACTTGACGCATCTTCAAGGCGTGTTCGATAGGCTGCGAAAGTACAACATGCGGCTCAATCCGAGTAAGTGCACTTTTGGCGTTCTGGCGGGCAAGTTTCTAGGCTTCATGCTAACCGAGAGAGGCATAGAGGTCAACCCTGATATGTGCAAAGCAGTCATTGAAATGCGAAGCCCGCAAACAGTCAAGGAGGTTCAGCAGCTGACTGGTAGCTCTAACACGTTTCTTGGCAAATTCCGCACACAAATCGCTCCCCCTGTTTGGGTTGCTCAAAAAAGGTACATCTTTTGCATGGTCCGAGGAATGTGAAGGAGCTTTCCAAGAGTTTAAAAGGGCTTTGTCCTACCCGCCAGTCCTCACTAAACCAGACAGTGGCGAAACTTTGTATTTATACCTCGCGGTTGGTACTGAGGCCATCAGTGCGGCGTTGGTCAGAGAGCCAATGGAGGAAGGCCAAAAGCCAGTTTACTTCATCAGCAAAGTGCTGCAAGGGGCTGAGCTGCGGTATCAACAAGTTGAAAAAGTCGCCCTCACACTCATTTTTGCGGCACGAAGGCTGAGGCCATACTTCCAGTGCCACCCTATCATTGTCAGAACCAATCAGCCCATCCGCCAAGTCTTGCACAAGCCAGACCTCGCAGGACGAATGATGTCCTGGGCGATTGAGCTCTCAGAATACCAGATCAGTTATGAGCCAAGAACCGCCATCAAAGCTCAAGCCCTCACTGATTTCATTGCTGAGATGACACAAAATCCTCCACCCAGTGCCCAAACCGCTGAGACGCCGATGTCGGCGATATGGAAACTATACGTTGATGGCTCATCAAACGCCAAAGGCTCAGGTGCAGGAATGATAGTTGAAAATCTAGACGGTGTTGCTGTCGAACACTCCCTGTCTTTCGAATTCAATGCCACGAACAACCAGGAGGAATATGAGGCCATGATTGCAGGCCTAATTCAAGCAAGGGAGATGGGCACCAGACATCTCAAAGTCTTCAGTGATTCCCAGTTAGTAACGTTTCAGATCCTTGGTGAATACCAAACCAAAGGACCGTTAATGTGCAGGTACTTAGAGAAGGTCAAAGAGTTAATCCAAAGCTTTGAAAGTGTCGAGGTGGAGCATATCAGGCGTGCCGAAAACACAAGGGCAGATATCCTCGCCAAGCTAGCGAGCACCAAAAGCCCAGGTAACAATCGTTCTGTAATCCAACACAATATGCCTAACCCATGCATAGTCATGAGCATTTCAGAGTCAAACCCTGAAGTCGCCAAAGAGACCTGGATCACGCCCATTGTCAACTACTTAGCTGAAAGGGTTCTACCTCTCGACCAAAAGGAAGCTATAAAGATCGTAAGAAGAAATGCCCATTTATGCATGGTACACGGGCGATTGTACAAGCGAGGACTCTCAACTCCATTCTTGAAATGTCTGAACCCTGGCGATGTTCAGTACGTTTTAGAGGAAATCCATGAAGGGATCAACGGCCACCACATGGGCGGTCACTCGCTAGCAAAGAAAGCGCTAAGAGCTGGATTTTATTGGCCAACCATGGAGCGTGACGCCCATGAGCATGTCAAAAAATGTGAAAAATGCCAGAAGTTTGCCGACGTACACAAAGCTCCACCTGAAGAAATGACATCAATCACCTCACCTTGGCCTTTCTACAAGTGGGGAATCGACATTCTGGGTCCCTTTCCCATGGCGGCTGGCCGGGTCCAATGGTTAATTGTCGTCATTAACTACTTTACCAAGTGGGTAGAGGCAGAACCCTTGGCAACAATTACATCTCAGAGGGCAAGGAAGTTATTTTGGAGGAGCATTGTCTACCGCTTCGGTATTCTAGCGGAAGTCATTACAGATAATGGTACCCAATTCACCGACACCAAATTCCAAGAGTTAATGAGCAGTCTGTAGATCCGACATCACTTTGCCGCAGTTGAACACCCCCAATCCAATGGCTTAGTGGAATCGGCCAACAAAATGCTGGCCAAAGGAATTAAGAAGAAGCTGGAAGCACACAAGGGGGCGTGGGTAGACAACCTCGACAACGTGCTGTGGGAATACAGGACAACCACCCAATCTTCCACTAGAGAGATGCCTTTCAGACTAACTTACGACACTGAAGCCATGATTCCCGTTGAAATCGGCGAACCCTCCTAGCGACGGGAACACGTTACCAAGGTCGCCAACACTCAAAATCTGAACGAAGCTTTGGACCTATTGGACGAGCTCAGAGGGCTTGCCTCCCAGTCTGACCGCCTTTCAAAAGAAAAGTTAGCCACTTATTATAACAAGAAAGTCATTTCCCGGAGTTTCGAAGAAAAAGATTTGGTTCTTAGAAGAGCAGACATAGGCAACAAGAACGCCCGAGAAGGAAAGCTCGCCCCAAATTGGGAAGGACCTTACCGGATAGCTAACAAATTGGGGAAATGAACTTACTCCCTAGAGACGCTTGGGGGAAAAGCCATACCGAGGGCGTGGAACGCAGATAAGCTCAAGAAGTATTATAGTTAAACTACCATGTAACACTTCCTACACTCTTTTCCTTTCCCAGGTTTTGTCTCCATGGGTTTTATTGGAAAAGGTTTTTAATGAGGCAGGGTTTCACGTTTTCGATAAATACAAGCGCCAATTTGCCAACTCTTGTTAAAGTCGCATGATCAACCAGCGGGATGGTTTTCACCCCCGCCAAACGTGTGACTGGGACGATTCTCACCCCCAGCAAACGCCCAACTAGCGGGATGGTTTTCACCCCCGCCAAATGTTGGACTGGGACAGTTCTCACCCCAAACCAACACCCAACTAGCGGGATGGTTTTCACCCCCGCCAAACGTTGCACTGGGATGGTTCTCACCCCCAGCCAACACCCAACTAGCGGGATGGTTTTCACCCCCGCCAAACATTGGACTGGGACGGTTCTCACCCCCAGCAAACTCCCAACTAGCGGGAGGGTTTTCACCCCCGCCAAACGTTGGACTGGGATGGTTCTCACCCCCAGCCAATGCATAAGTTGCGAGACGGTCCATCTAATAAATGATACATCAGTATTTAAAGAGTTTAGATTGACAGCATAAAAAGTTAAACAAATTCATTGATAATTAAAGAAGTACAAGTCCGCAGTCGACATACCAACCACGACAAAAAGAGGAAAAGAGCCCCTTGTTGACTCACCAACCCTACTACACTTATATCTAAACTTGCAAATCAAGATTGGCGATCATCAGCTACGACATCTTCATTAGTAGCTTCTCGGACCTGTTCAATCGCGCCCTCCTCAACATTCTCCAAAGTCTGCTTAGGGACGCCCGCAACTGCAACGCCTCCCCCAGTCGCCTCGTTAGGACCAATCAAAGTTTCGTCAACAGGTTCTGTCGGCGTGTCACGCCTAACATCATCCTCCTCACGATTATCATCACTCGGCATCACTTATTGGGCCGGTCTCGGGCACGCTTTCATCTTCATCAGTCTCAGTCCCCTCCTCAATTACCTTCACCCTGCCATCCTTGAGGCGCTCAACTATCTTGTTGTCTTCCACCTCATAGTCGGGGGTGAAACCATTCAAGTCAAGCTCAAGATACCTAACAGAAACTTGCTGAAGGGCGTTGCTAAAAGAAGCGTACATAAGGTTAGCTAAAGCTTCTTCAAAGTCTTCCACCCTCCCAGTGAATTTTTTGAAGTCCTCATCTTTGGCGTGGAGGCTCCCGTGTTCAGCAAACAAATTAGCAGACAGCTGGTCTTTCTCAGTTTGGAGACCCTCCTTCTCTTTCTTCACCTCTGCTAATGACTTGGTTAGGTCATCTTTGTCGGAAAATATCCGCCTAACCTCTTCTTTCTCTTTCTTCAGTCGCGAGGATAAAGATTTGTTCGAAGTTTTCGCCTCGGCAACCTCCTTACCAAGACGCCCAACCTCGGCAGTAAGACCATCCACCTTGCGCCCCATCTCACCCAGACGATCCCCTTGAGAGGAACAACGGCTGTCAACTGCAAGGGCGATCTCTTGCATTCCTAAGATGCGGCCAATAACCACCTGGGTGCAGTTCATGAACTCCTGGCGATCGAATCGCTCTGGCACCACCATCTTAGGACGCCCCACATTGGGAAATCCGCTGTCACGGTCCCTCTCAGACAACTTGAGGGCCCTACTGTTGGATGGTTTGCTGATGGTGGAAAAATATAAGTTCTGATAGGGGACGTTCCTCTGTTCTTGCAGAACACAGATACGTCCCTTAGTTCCGACCCAAGTGCACAAGTGCACGCATCAAGTAATAAAGGGAGTATTAATGCCCAAATTATCGTTCCCACGAGGATAGAGTGCTCATTATTATTTTATCACTGTTTATAAAGAGTGAAAATGAGAAGAAAAGTTAGTAAATGAACTGTCTGGTCAAACGTTCCCTACTGTCTTGACAACGTTCCTCAGGAACAATAGGTTCAATCTGATGGCAAACAGTTGCTCGCTGCGTTATGTATGTGATCCTTCCTGTTTAGAAGAAGGTGAGATAATAATCATTGGAGTTTTTATAAATACTAAATAAAATAAAAACTATTAAAACAGAAATAACTATAATCAAGAGACAACAGGGTGGTGGTTAAAACAGTTTAACAGAAGGAACAGATTTACTGCTTCACTCTTAAAGGGGTTATTTTCTCTGCTCAAGACTTAGCACCTTTTGGCTTTGTCCCAGTTTCTTTGCCTGCCAACTCTGATTCCTCAGCTCTTGGTCTAGATGGCTCACAAGTTTCCATATTCCTATGGCTCCCTTGACTCCAACAGGTACTTAGTTCAGAGCCTTAAAATGAACGAGTTGGCCCCTTATTCCTAAGGTGACCAGTAGTGTTTTTGCCATGACATCTACCTTCCCCCAATGGCTAAGCTGTCTGAAATCCCTTCCTTATGGAAGTTCCTTTCACAGTATGTACCCAATTTCCATTGGCGCACAATGAATATAGCTTACTTAGCCAAAGAAATACAAAAAGCTTCGGTCAAGAGTTTTGAAAATAGTTCTTTAAGAGTTTCACAGTTTACCCATTCCACAGATAGTTCAGCTCATGACTGATAGTTTAAACATAATTATTCTCAACTGAGATCACATAGACCCGAGATTCAGTCAAGAGATAACGATTGGAACGAAGAGAAAACACTTATATTAATTTAAAAGACAGTTTACAAAAAGAAACAAAAAATGGAGAAAGATGGGTATTTGCTCGTGAGGAGTCTTGATGGTTGTTTACAGAAAAGAGAAGAGGGGTTGTCACTTAACTACAGTTACAACTTAAAATTAAACTATGTTACTAACTACTACTAAGTGATCTCTTCCTTTCGGACTGCAAACCCTCCAGGATTCGATGATGTTTTTGTGTGAGGGTGGTCCTATTTATAGCTGGAAGAGGAGTGGCAAGACTGTAATTCCTTTGGAGCTAGTTGCTTGAATGAGGGGACGAGACTGTGGCAGCAGAGCGTGAAGCTTGTGTGAATTGCTGAATGGAACAGGATTTGGTGATGATTAACCATTGATTGTAGACCTTCCCATGTTTTGCTTCTGTTTTTAGCCAATGAGAACTCTTGATTCTCTGCTCTTCACGTTTCCAGCTGCTCAGTTGGTGCACCGCCTTGATTTTTAGAAGTCTTTAACTCTACGTTACCTGCAAAGTGTACAGAAGCATTAAATGCGTCTCAGTCTGTTTCCCTTTTAATATATTTTAAAGGAATACGTTACCATCCGTTCCCCCACTGTGTTTTTGTCACAAATGTGTAAAACAAGTGATTTTCATGCTGAAGTTGCTCATCAGATGAGGGAACGTATGGTATTTTGCCATCAAAATAGGCTTAGATGGGAACGAATTTACGTCCCATCAAACACCCCAAAATTAAACTGTTGGTTGTCCTCAAACAACTCAGAAATATTGTATTGGTCTGCCCAATTTAAAAGAATAGTATAACAGAAAGGAACATGAGCCAGTGAGCAACCGTGAACTTTTCAGAAAATGAACTACTCTCCATAGTAAACAATAAGAGGATTCTGTCCCCAGATAAGAGAAGGTTGATGATCTTTTGCAATGATTGATGTAGAGCAAGGAAAGCTGGTGTTGAGAATGAATGAAGAAACAATTACTGTCAATGTTTTTGATTGTATGAAAAGACCTATTGAAAATGGTGATTGTTTCAGACTTGATGTCTTAAAGGAGGTGGTTCATGAAGAGGAAACTCATATTCAAGAGCTTGAAGAGGATTTGAAAAACTGTGATCATGTTCAATTTGAAGATAATATTGCCGATGTCTCAGAGGTTCTTGAAAAGAAGGAGTCTGATAAAGAAGGGTTGTCTTTTGATGATGAAAGAAAACTAAAAGAGGTTCTCTTAGAGCACAAGACTGCGTTGGGGTGGTCCATTTCTGATATTAAACATATAAGTCCTTCTTTTTGTACCCATAAAAGTCTCATGGAGGATGATGTCAAACATGTGAGAAAGCCTCAAAGGAGGCGTAATCCTACAAGGAAGAAGGAAATGAGAAAGGAAGTGGTGAAACTCTTTGATACTAGTTGAAAGATTTATGTGGATTACCGGAGGATAAAGGCCACCAAAAGGAGATTCTGCGAGAAGAGACACCAAGACTCTGTCTTTCAGAGAAAACAATACTTCAAAGAGTTCTTCACATGGATTCACGGTTGGAATCAAATCTAGGAATGGTGGTCTCATGCACTGATGCATCCAGAACCACCAGACCCTGCATTTGCTGAGTTATCCCATGCTGCTGAGGGGGATAACATGGAGGATTGATTAAATCTCCTTGCTGTCGGAGAGTTATTGTATATTAGTTTGTTTTTCTTTTTAGTACTTTTGCTGTTTTATTATGACCTTAGGTTGATGTTAGGGTCATTTAGCTACTTTGCGTTGGTATATTTCCCAAACACTCT